GCGTCGCGGTGAGAGCGGTGTCGCGCGCGAAAGAGTGTGGCAGGATGCAGCGGTAGGTAAAAAATACAAAAACAAAAGTACTTATAGTAGAATTATGCATAAAATAATGATCGCATATCGATTGAGCTGTAATAACGGCGAATGAGTGGGTCCGCGACAGCCGCGTGCGGCAAATCGATTACCCAAAATCGTTCCTAACACCCGTCTCCCACCTTTTACCTTATTTTGAGGCTGTGAAGCATTGGAACGAGAGGTGTACAGAACCGCTTAGGAAGGGCTTCAAGGTGCTCTGCCTGACACATACTTCAATAGGTTTCTGTAGCGGAAAGGTCGGATTCGGCGGTTTGGTCACTATATGGTCAAAAAGAGGTAGCCGAATATGTCATGCGATAGCGTAGGTAGTATCCTTACGTAGGAACATCATGAAAGCTTCCAAAAAATCTCAGGAGAAAACGGGACTATAACGGAATCCGGCAGAACTTTCAAAACATATATGTACTTGAGATTTTTGAAGGAATTTGCGGTTCATCCACTTTCTTGTGACAAATTTGTTTCTGGTTCGTATGACCTCTGCACAACCATGTTGATTCCTACATTTGCTTGAATCGAAAACTGAATGGTGTCGGAATAGTCACCTTTTTCATCCGGTCGACGTTGTTGTTATCCTCAATCACATTTGTACACATCATTTCCGCGTCCTTTATGACTGTTAACGGCTACAAAACCATCTTCAATCATTCCATATCGTCTGCGAAGAGATGTCATTGTGATTACTTACCGTGGTAATCATAGTATCTTCAGCCATGTCTGTACCGCTATCGCTCAAACTATGTGAAGATCGCTTCAAATTCGACCTATAAAGCCAAAAACTATGTGTCGCACTCTCTACCATGGTTTTTCGAGAAATAAAAGAATAAAGTTCATTGGAGCCTTCAATTTCCGACCAGATTAGCAGTTGAATGCGCATGTGCGGCCTACAATGACTTGCGGTGGCCAGCGGATGAACAAGTCAGCGCTTTTATCCTCCCAGACAGCGCTTCTGTTGGGTAGCCGCTCGTTCGGATTTCTGTACTTACCAATTAGTATCAATTAACCAGTTTAAGGGGAATGGAAGGCCTGGTTGGCTTGGATGAGTATCAATCTGGATTTTGATCCCTGGACCGTGGATGTGA